TGAAACGAAAAAAACAACACAGTCGTACATATTGTCACCCAAACTACTTCTCTCTCCGGGTGTGCCAAACCTGGAGTGATTTTCCAAACAATTATTTTAGCCCCTACCTTAGTCACTAAAATAAACGGTTAGACATCGCAATGAGCTCTATACAATTTGTTATATGATCGGACGTTCTGGAATAATAACTCGTATTGAGGCACGTAAATCAGTGCCGACGGGTTAGCAATCCCATTTTAAGCTGCAATATATATATATATATGTATACATATATATAATAAATAGTCATTCCTTATTGCATTCTATCATCGCAATCCAACAAACCTATTTTTACCATTACTCTGCTATGCGCATTTTGTCTGGTCAACTTATGTAGTATTAGGAATTGCAATTTATAATTTAACAACTTACGGGACATGCTAAGCCATAGTATTTTACCCGTCATAAACTAGTGTTTCTTTTATCGGTCTGTCAAGAACAACTCGCCTATTTTTACTTCTTCGTCAGTTGTTGCTCCGGCAACCAGAACATCATTTAACTAGGCGAAAGTTTCGAAACTATGGTGCACATGTTATACCAAATGCAAAAGTTGAGCTTTAAAAAGCATTCCTTCATAAACCCCCTTTGCACAGCTGTTTTCTATATTGAATAATTTCGAATTATGTATGGAATCCCAAAGTGGTCAAACTTTTCGCTTTTCCTGCTATGATGCTCTCGAGCGTTCACTTGTAAAAGGCCAGAGCCGAGTGGATGCCGAATGGTAATAGTTACTTCAGAACAAGCCCCCGCAAGTACGGATTGTGGTTACCGTTTTAGCATTTTATTGTAGTATGGACATGTACCAGTTCTAAGGATAGGAAATATCTGCTGGTACTCAGCTGAGTATAAACGTCCTCAATTTTTGGAATGGGGTGTTTTTCAGCCACAATGCAGCAATTGACATTAATTTTTTAGTCACTATGAACATGCATATGTCCATCGGGTTTAAGTGCTGGGACTAGTGGTTGTAACCCTAGATGAAAATTGCACTGGCTGTATGACACCGTTTTTCTGCAGGCGATCAAGTTGCTTTTCTACGTTCGATACATCATGTACATCAGCAAGCGAGCCTTGCTGAATCTTGGTCGTGTGCCAGGCATTACTGTTGATATTAACTTGCCCAGCGACGAACGTTTCTTCTGGTATCTCAGAAACTGATACGTATTGCTGAATCAGCGGTTATAGCTTTGATAGCAATGACATTTGGTTTATCTGCCAAACCGGAAGCTGATTAATCTAGCCATTGCCCCATAAGTTTGGAAGATCTCCATGTGCGATGTAAATGATTCCATGGATTTTAATGCACTGCTTCCACGGATTGTCGACACCACATATGATATCACAACGTCCTGAGCCGCAGCTTTTCCACGTCCCCACCCGTGTAGTTAGGCAATCACAGGGCGCTCTACCCAGCTTGGTATAACTGGTTGAGGACAATCGTTGTGACCATGTTAGCTCGTTGTCCGGCACTACACTACCCGTGTCAATTTCGAAATGCACTGTAATCTAGTTATCACAGTTATGTGCAGTGGTGTTTGTGCGGGTAGGGTAGTCGTGTGTATTACATATCCTTGTGGTTCAGCAAAACTATGTTGACTGTATACTCCCTGGTAATGTGGGTGTGTACTGGGTCGACAAATGTAAGCCGAATGCTCGTTTTACATTTATTCTTAATTACCTGACTTGTGTACGTGGCGTTAGAGCTCTATAAATCGGCTAGGCAGAGAGACGTAAAACCGAAGGTGAGCAGAAAAATTTGCAAAAATAGACCGGAAATGTTTAATAAAAGGGGTGATAATGTTAAAAAATTACATCGATAGGGCAAGGATGTATATGCTTGCAGAGTGAGAGGATGGCCGCGGGTTAGCAGGTTGCGTCCGTGTGGGAAATGTTCTAGCATGTGTTAACTCAGAAAAACTTGGGCAACATCCAAACAAGCGAGCCACTTAATTCCCTTGTTATTAAAAAAAATTAAATTTAGTATTGTTTTACACGGCATTACAGTCAAATATGGAGGAATCTCCAGATCACTACATATTCTCTGGGAGGACCGTGCTGCAAGGTGCAGCGATAACAGATGAACGAACGCTTAGACTTGTTGGCAACATTGTATATTTTGGCCGGGAAATATTCAGCACAAAGTTTTGGATTGAGCTGTAAACTCTGCCAAAAGTTACATATTGTTTACAGCAACCTCCATGCCGGTCGCTGCATTATAATGTTGGATAGTTGGGTTCCCAGAGTTAATTGGTCATCGACGTTTTTATCCGAAGCGAAACTCGGTGTATTTTTTCTTTGTTGCCAGTTTTTCATACATCTTACCTCCTTTGGTCGGTACACTGTCGACTACCTAGTCTACCGATTGCTTTCCAGACAATTTACGCTTTGAATATTGCTCATCATTTCTTCCTCCTGTTGAGTGAATGTCAGCCAAACCATCAATCAATATACGTTAGCTGAGGGTAAGAACTACACCACAGCCAATGAGTCACAATACCACAAGATACGAATAAATACATTACAAATACTTCAGATCGCTAAGCGATACAAAGTTGAGTGTTATATGATGTATTTCGTGTGGGATCCTAATTGGAGGGGAAGCAAAAGGAGAGGGGTGGACGAGGAAACTCACGGCACAAACGCTATTTGGACCGGCGCTTCGCCTTGTCAACAAGTGTGTCTAAGCAAGCGTGTTTATTGCCCTTCGGACCCCAGCCAGGCAGCCGGGAACCAACAACAGACGCCAAGTTCGAAGCAAAAGTTTCCATGCTTCTTGACCAAGTCAGCGCTTGTCCTTCCCACCTCATCTTCCAACCGCACCCTCTGCGAGAAAACAAAACACGAAACGGGAGTCGGTGTGCTGATATGAGCAACACGTGGCCCAGCCATCCGAGCCTAATGACTAATATAATGGTGCTGTGTGGTTCACTCACTCTAGCTGCACCAAATATACGACGTCGAACACATACATTGTTCACTCGGTGCTCTCACCATGCCTGAGCTAAGCTGTGAGGGGAGCGATGATCGAACCTTACTAGCCTCCTTATGTCTGTCGATCTGATGGGCCAGGTTTCACCCGCGTATGGGAGGGTTGTACAGGCGACTGCATTGTCAACTCAGCCTTTCACGGTTCCAGTGATATCATGTCGGCGTCACAGGTGGCTTAGTTGATAAAAGCACCTTTAGCTTCCGCCATACGCTTCGTTCGCCCATCTTTGATCCAAGGGGTTTTAACCAAGCTGGCCAGATACTTGGATGCCTAATCAAATTTTAGCTGATCACCACCAAGGGTCGGCGTAGTAGTGGGTCCCTGCTCATCTTGAAGAAAAACCTTACCTTTTGATTGAGCACAGCAAAACCCAAAACGATTGACAGCCAGTGCTTATCGTTCCAGTGCTACTTGGCACGTTTAGGAGCTGTCACAGATAAGGGCAATGTCATCCACATATTCCAAGTCAAAAGTCGCTCACCAGAAACTAATTCAGTACCTTGTTATTCGTGTCCAGTGTTTGCTGTTACTGCGACTTCATTAATAGTGAAGTTAAAGTGGAAAGAGGACAGTGGGCAACCTAGTCTCACACCGCTGGAAATCATGAATGGCAATGATAGCTTGCCGTAAGCCATCACTATGCCCGAATCATGCGTGTACAGTGCACTGATACTGTTTACGTATTTATCAGGCACACCTTTCATTAGAAAGTCCCAAGAGACACACTGATACACCTAATCGCAGGCACCTTTTATACCGAGAAACCCGACCAAGGTGGGTCGCCAATGAACATAGCGACGCTCCAACAATTGACACAAACTGAAGATGTGGTCGGTGAAACCCTAAGCCATTATTCAAGGCCATTTCAATTCGTAACACCTAGGTACTTTTCAACGTCACTGAGTTATCCTCCAACACGCTATGCTATCTGCGAACGTTTTTTGCTCCAATAATGATACCATCCTAGGATACACCTATTCAGGAGTTGTCGAAGTCATAAAATTCCGTCAACTTCCAAAACTCGGCAAAGAAAGAAGCAGCTCACTCTCTCTCACTGTGAAAGCGGGTATAGGACTTCAACCAGTGCACAACCATTTACTTTATGGGGATGTAGTGATTGTAGACCAGTGTGACTAGTTCGTCCAGTTGTTTGGTGCTTGGTAAATCCGGAGTTACCTGGCTAGGAATTAGCTCGTAATTTTATAGGTCACAAATACTCAGTGGGATGTTTACCATGTGACTGTCATTGACGGTTTCATTGGCTGAGAGATAAGACAATTCTGACTTTCAACATAGTGGTTCCAAGAACCGTATCCCTTAATTTTCCGATTTGGCCATGTTCTGTTCGACCAATCCGTTGCCTATGTTGCAAGAATCCGACACATGAAGTCACATGACTGCGATGTGTACACACGCACCTTTAACCACACGACACGCACTGGCTCGGAATACGCTATGGCAACACACGGGTGGAAATAGGTCAACTTGTTTAGGTTGAATTTCCAGAACCGATATCTTCAGCTTACCACTGACACCACAAGGCAAGCCGTTGGTCTTGATATCAATTGAGTTAATCTCAAGTAAATAACCAGGGTGTTTAGATCCCTAGAATACAGAAATCCTAGAAAACCTCGAAACAACTTTAGCATTTCCTCAAACAGATAGTCTGGTATAATAATATCAGGCTATCTTTAAAAGTTAAGGGCTTATTCAATGTTCAGTCTTTATGAGTTAGCTTGGACCCAGTTAAAAATAGCATTACTCACTCAAACCTCAGTTGTTATTCGTGTAACGGACATCTTGGTTGAGGGATTAGATTCACTTTAACAGAACTGTTGCTGTGGTCAGATGTGTTTCATTCACTACAAACAGGAGTCATTAATCAGTGATTACTTGCAAAAATTAGACTATGGAGCGTACAGTTAAACTAACTGATGATGTAAGCTTATGAAAAATTGCATTTACTTTTTAGGCGAACCTCAATGACAAATCTACCTACGCGCTTCGCGTCACTTCCGTCGATCGACACGGTAATGAAGGCCCTTCTTCCCCAATGGTTTACATCAAACCGACGAGACAGAATCGAACTGAAGCAGCCAGAACCAACCGAATCGCTGGTGGAAGCGGATTGTCAAAGAGGGTTGTCGGCCCGGACCATTATGCAGTGCGAAATTTGAAATGCGCCGAGGAGGAACCTGATAGGATCCTATTGCAATGGTTCCCACCGGCAGAAGTGCACCATCTTGTGGAATATCAGGTTAGTCGATAATAAAACAAACTTGTAGTAGCACGAACGGCACAATTTTTTGATTGATGTTGACCTAGTGCTCATATGTCTACCTATAAATAGACTGCCGCATATCTTCTTAGTCAAGACGGGGCCGAAAGAACGAACCGAGTTGCAGTGATGTGTAACCTGAGTTACAGACTGCAACTACGAGTAATGCATTATTGAGCCAAGAAACCAAGAAACAATGTCTAAATACTTATATGGGCATTCCAGTAAGTGTTCGACAAGTTAATTTGGTAAAAGTGACAAAGAAATTTCGGGGTATGGTGGATGTGTAAACGATTCACGTAAGCACAGACCACATGCCGTTACACTACGTCCAGGGCTGAGAGGCACGCTGTTTGGTATGGGTTGTTTCATTTTCCGACTGACACGGACCACATCACCTTGTGTAAATGGGAGATAATACATCTTCACGTCGTATTTTGAAAGGATGTATTAAATAGACAGTAATAAATTGAAGAAGTACAGCATTTCATCTGGGAGGTATCCGAAGAAAAAAGGTTTTATCTACACTCCGTCTGTAGTGTATGGCCAGTTTGAGATGGTGGCCTCTCAGATTGGTATTGTTATCAGATCGATCGAGCAATGAGACATGTTACAAAGAACAATGATTTATTATGGGTAAAAAAGCATGTGCTTTACAAGTCCCGTAGGATGGTTAGAGTAAATATTAAAATGGAAAGGGTCAACGAATAAGCAAATCGCTATTTTAATCGTCTACCGATTTGAATGCACTACTGCATGACGATACTTTAAAATGGGAATGGGATGCACAGACACAAAATTGCATAGAAAGCTGCTGTGGTTCAATAACTCCATGAGAAAAAGGAAACGGCAAAGCTCACTCGTGTGTTACTTTAGTTGACAGATGTGGTATGTTAATCCAGTTTAGATACATCCATGCTACTCACAAAGACCTTCTGCTAGCCTCCTCATCGCCATGTTGCGGAGAGGCTCCTTAGGTACATGATTTGATTTGCGTTATTTCGTCCTCCGATTGAAACAAACATCAACTAATGCAATTTGGATGGCATGTCATCAAGGCGTTTGTTGAATAGCGTTGATGTAGGAGCAAGGATGACATGAGTAGGAAGGGAGGAAAGGTTTCGTCAACAGTCTGGTCGACTATAGTGCGTAGCCAGTATAAACTGATGGTCTCTCTGGTTGGTATTTTGGCTTAGGTGCAACAGATTTGCGGCATGGGTGAATGGGGTTCGTCAGTATTAAGTAAAGCAGAATGCGGTTTCCTCACTGTCATCAATATTCACCACTGTACAATCTCAGGGACTGCAGTCCGAGCTGGTAGGAGTAACCAGTTTGATTGCTCTACATTGTCGAGCTTCAAGTGCATTGATGTGCTTGCGTCAGGCGCGCCAGATCTGGATCACATATTCCACGTGTGGCGTCACGTAGTTACTTAGCATTTGCCGAAAGCTTGATGGCATGAAATTCCCGAAATCTCTCCGTAAGGGTCCAAGATATTGACTACTTCTTTTCGATGTATTCTCAGCCAGTATCGAGCAGCCAAGTTCGTCCTGCATCAGCATCATCATTATACACGTTAGCTATAGGTGGGAAACAACTCAGCTACTTTGCCGCAATACATAGAAGAAAAAAGGAGAAAAAATGCAACAGGCGCAGGTAAGCTGAGCTACCGGTAACGGATGAGCATCGTTCCGGTAAGCTCCCAGCCGACTACTACGCAGCAGAAAAAAAATTTACCATGCAAACTTGTATTACGCTAAGAAGTGAGATCGTACTTGAACAGGGGGTTAAGTAGGATGGGGTGGGACAAAGAAACTCACAGCGCGAACGCCACTGAGGTCGGCTCCTGGCCATATCAACAAGTATATACAGCCAAACTTGTTCACCGTGTTTCGAACCCCAACCAAGGAGCCGAGACGCTCCAACCGAGGCCAGCTTCCAAGTGAGTGCCTTCATTCCTCTCGAACAATTCATCGCTTGACCACCCCTCCTATTCATCCACCCATACCCCCGGCGCGCAAACAACGCACGTCGTGGGAGTCGGTGGGCTGAAATGCGTAACACGTGACCAAGCCATCGGAACCTGGTGCGTGAAATGACGGTGCTGAGCGGTTCAGTTCCTTTTTCTGTGCCGTAAACAAGGCATCGAACACGCTCGTTACACACACAGTGTTCCCACCAGATGTGAGCCAAACTGCGAAAGCACCGATGGTCGAACGTAACTAGCCTCTTTATGTCCGCCGATGTTAGTGGCCAGGTTTCACAACCGCGCAGTAGGGTCGAACGTACCGCTGCATTGTACACTTTACCCTTCAGGGCAAGGGTGATGTCGCGCCAGCGCCAGAAGTGGCGATGCTTATCAAAAGAGTCTCGAGCTTTTGCTATACGGTTAGTGATATCATCTTCAATCTCACGGGCGCTGATACAACTTCCCAGGTAGTGGAATTTTTGAACAACCTCTAGCTGATCCCCACCAGCATTCAGCGTAGGAGGCAGTCCAGGACAACCTTGGAGGAACTCTTTGCTCTTAGAGGCTGCGAAGAAAAGCCCGAAGTGACGGACATCCAGTGCTAATCTGTCCAGAACCGTTTGGCACGTTTGTGAGCTGTCACAGATTAGGGAAATACCATTACCATACTCTAACACAAAAGTCCTTCTCCTTGGAACAGATCCACACCTTCTAAGTCGTGTCCTGTAGACGCGATTTCCATGACTTCATCAACAGCGAAGTTGAAGAGGAAAGGTGACAGCGGGCATCCTTGTCTTATACCACTGGAGATATTAAAGGGCGACGACAGCTTGCCATAAGCCCTAACTCTGCCGGAGCCACGCGCGTATAATTCTCGGATAATATTAAAATATTTCTCAGATACACCTTTCTTGAGTAGACAGTCCCAAAGTGCACGTCTATCCACCAAGTCGATTGTACCTCTGATATCGAGGAACACGACAACGGTGGGCCGCCAACAACTGACGCAAGGTAAAGATGTGGTCAATGGAGCCACGACCTTGACGAAACCCGGCTTGCTCTTCACGAAGCTGGCTTTCACGAGTGTCAGTCAGTCTGTGAAGGATGAAAAAGGCAAGCAATTTGGAGGCGATAGAGCTCAAACTGATTCCTCTATAGCTGCCGCAATCCGATCATGCGCCGCCCTTGAAAACTGGGACTATGACGGAGTGGCTGCAGGCGCATGGGACAGTTTACTGCGTCCACAGTTTCACTAGTAACTTGTATAAATCATCCACAGGAGCAGGTCCCCCGAATTCGTAGACTGCGGGGGGAAGCTCAACTGGTTTCGCGAATATATTTAACTTCAACGGCGCGATCTCACTTTCGACTTTTGAGCTAGAGGTGGGTCCAAAGGAACAGTCCGTGAAGCGGGGCGATCAGTGGCCGGCGAGAAATCTAACAATTCCGACCGATGAAATTTCTTTTCAAATGTCTCAGCCCAACGCGCTAAGCGTTTTGACAAGTGGATAGGCTGTCCACTCTCGTCGCGTATAATTTCACTAACACGGGGTCTCCTGCTGCCAGTTATCAGACGGAATAACTAACGATGGCTATCAAGGGCAGCGGCTATTTCCATCTTTGAAGCACGATGAGAACACCAGGATTCGCGGTCTCTCTTCAGGCTAGCACGGAGTTTTGCCCTTTACTCTTTGCGAGCTTTATTGTATTCGCTTCCAACTGGAATATGCCGGCCAGCATCGATAAGTTCCAGAGACTGTGAAGAGACCCAATGTCCATGTTGGCGATTGGATATACCACATGAGGATTCTCCTGCTGCTAGTAAGGTCTGGTGAATATGAGACCAGTAAACTTCAGTTGCATCCAGTGGGCGCTTATAAAACCCGCATGTCAGCGTACTTCGATAGGCATTCAGAGCAGCTGACTTCGCCAGTTGGCTGGTGTCAATGTGGTCAAAACGTCGTCGTCGACATCCGCCAAAGCGCATCCGCAGATCAACACATACAAGTGCATCGTCGCTGTCGATACATGTGCTCCAAATCGAGCGGCTGTTCTGGATGCAGCCTCTCCACCGGTAGCTTATTGTAATGTGATCGAGTTGCGTACATAGCTGGTTCGATGCCGGTGGGCGCCAAGTCACCCTCGGGAGAGTGCCGTGTCGAAAGTTAATGCGCGCAAGATATAAGCGAGCATCATCATACAAATTAAGTGATCGCTCACCGTTATCATTACAGGAGCCTACACCATGTTGGTCGCTCAGAAATAGCTCATCAGTAGACAATTATTCAACTTGCGATTTCAGATCCCCAGCAAGCACTACAGTGTCCGTGCTTCCTCTGTAGCGAAGGAGCTCGTTCATTTGACGCTAGAAGTCGTTCTTTACCGAATCATCGCTACAGTTTGTGGATGCATCGGCAGCGATAACGGATAGACAGCTGTTAGTCCCTTGCGCATTCAAAGCACTGAATGATCTAGCCAATCGGACCACACACATCCGGCCATTGATTGGGATCCAATCAACCCGAGCAATTTCAGCTCGGGGGCTTAGGGCATTACCAACACCGGCATGACCGGTGCTCGAAGCTGCATCGTCACCGGATAGGCGCAATGAGAAAGTGCTTCTAGTGTCACCTGAATGGGGATCGCAGTGAGCACATAGCTCGAGTCTTGCAGGCGGGTCGCTGGTACACAGCAGACATCGATCGACTGGGTCTCTAATGTTCCAGCAACTGCTGCCTGTTGACTGCTCGGAAGCGTAGATTGTGGCCTACATTGAGGGGTGTCAATCTGAAGGAGGATCGAGGTCTCCAAATGGAAGCCGATGAAATGGAATGCACCGCTTGCTTGGACATGGGCCTGTTGACAGTGCAGGAATGACCCTCCGCGTTCACATGTGAGTTGAAACTAAAAGACAAGCGATTATTGTAGCAAGGTGGAGGAGGGCCAAGAACTGGGGGTTGGCAACGGGGGGAGGGTAAAAGTGGAGTTGGAACGGGACGATAAGGGTGAA